TTCTGACTCTGAATATTGAGAGTACTTGAATGTACTTCATGGTAACTGGGATGCCACTTGTCCCTAGCTTTTATTGAATGCTTCCTATTTTCATGGGTTGACTTTTAAGGATCTATCTTTTAAAATAACAGTAAAGGGCTGGGGATTTAGCTCAGTGGTTTTGCCGCCTGCTGCGCAAGCGCAAGGACCAGAGTTCGATCCCCGGTACTAAAAAAAAAATAAATAACAGTAAATGCCGTTTACATTTTAAAGGACAAAGTTCTGACCCTCAGAGTTCCATTTTTATAGAAGACCATCACCTCTTGTAGTCTTACTATGGAATGTGCTGGCATTGGCAGTTCATAGCATGCTGCCAGGTTTGTCAGAAGATTGAACTTAAAAGTTGTCCACAGTGTAGTCCAGGAATAAAAATGAACTCAAGTCCTTCCTCTTCTATACCAACCAGTTACATCTCCTGTATCAAAGCTGTCTTCTAGTCTCCATTTTTCTGAAGATCAAAATTATCATTTCATCTTTGATATCATAAAAGTCAAATGATTATCTACACAATTGAATTGTGACACCACATTTAAATGTCCTAAGCCCTTAAATCTAAGTAATGTTTATACTGCATAGTATTCACATTGGAGAAGGAGAGAAGCTTCTCATCCTAAATGCATCTTTGAGAGAAGTAACACTGTAATGAATAGCTTTGTCTCAGTAGCTGGTTATTTCTTTAGGATCTGTGGTGTACAATTACTGAGTCAAGTATTCTAAGGACCTTTTCAGTACCACTGAAATTCTTAACTCTTGGGTCTGTTATTTGTGTAACTTCGGGAGATTCACATAAACTTTAACCTTTCATTTCTTATCAGTAAAAAAACAGGTTTGACTGTAATGTCTTCATAAAAATTCAGTTTAGAAGTATGCTTTTCTGATTACTATATGATATAGCCATAGAAAGTAAGTTGTTAGAACTTAAAGGGATTTAAAATATATTCAAATGCTCTTAAGAATATATTTATTAAACTTCTTCCCCTTGCGGCCCCAGCAAATGGCCAGCCTAGATTTAGTTACTGGTAAAGGGCTGTTTCTCTTTGCACAAAGCTGGTAGTGAATGACTAAATGTGTGGCTTGACATCTAGAAATTGGGTTTATGTTCCTGTAGCAGTCAGTCTTTCTCCAACAATTTGAGTTCCAGCAGGGATTCTTTCTGGATTTATAATTCTGGCTAATTGTACTACTCCTATTAAGAGTACAAGTCTCGGGCCGGGGATTTAGCTCAGTGGTTTCGCCGCCTGCTGCGCAAGCACAAGGACCCAAGTTTGATCCCCGGTACCAAAAAAAAAAGAGTACAAGTCTCATTTTCTCTGTATTCTATTTTCTTTTAGGATCTTTGTGTCAGCTTATCCCCCTTATTGCTCATAAATCTTATTCTTTGCATTTTACCTTTGCTTCCATGTGGTGTTTTGGTAATCATCTAATATTGAAGGGTATCGGGTGTTCCTATTTTCTAAATTGAATGAGGAGAAATGACATAATTTTGAACTTGGATTTCCTCCATTTCTTTAATATAGCTATATCTTAATTTGATGAATGACCTTATTTGGGCACAAACTGAAGGAACAGAGACAAAATACATAGGTCAGAGAGAAAAAGAGCTCACATCAATATAGATGAAAAATTCAGTACAAAAATGAATGTAGATAGTATTGTATATTTTATAATTGTGGTAGAAAATACAGATTATAGGCCATGTCATTGTGCACATTTCATTACTTGTCATATTTCAATTGAAAAGAATAAGCTGGGCATAGTGGCAACCCTTGTAATCCTGACACACAGGCAGTAGGTTTATGGATTGGAGGCCAACATGGGCTATGTAGTGAGGCCTTGTCTCAAAAAAAGAGAGAAATAAATATCTCAAGTATCACGTAATGAGCTTTTTAAAAACATTTCATACTGAGAGATGTATGTACGTATTTCTTACTGGCTTAACTGGCAGATCTGTCAACCATTTTTAGTACCCTTACCCAGAAAGCTACAAAAATTGTTTTTTTGTTTTTTCTGGTACCGGGATCGAACTCAGGACCTTGCGCTTGCGAGGCAGGCGCTGGAACCACTGAGCTAAACCCCCAGCCCCCAAAACTGGTTTTTAATAAAGGAAGATGGAGCATGGTGTTTAACTGCATTGGCAGGGTGATAAAGGAAACTGTACTTACTGTGTACTTCTAAAGTAGCAGTTTCTGGGGCTCCTGTTGTGCTAAAGCACAGCTGCCACTGTCTTCCTTCTCAGACTGCATAAAATGACTTGCAGTCATGCCAGGACTTACTGACTCTTCCGAAAACAATTGGTCTGTCTGTGTATCCTGGGTGAGACTACTGTAACAGGCTTGGTAGCAAGTGACAGGTTTAAGTAGGAAAATAGTTGCAGATTTCTATCATGATGGTTCTTATCATCTTGTCATCCTGCAGGCCATCTGACATTGTATTGTGCTGGAGAGAATGATGACAGCCTTGACCTTGTGGGGGGGGACAAGATGTTTTGAAACCTTTCTACCCAAAGTAGCAGCAACACACTTGACATGATCTTTATGAAAAATTCTCGTCAACATTATGTAAATGTTTATTTTACAGAGCCATAAGTGTGATCCTTGGTGACAGGTGGAAGAAAATGAAGAATGAAGAGAGGAGAATGTACACATTAGAAGCAAAGGCTTTGGCTGAAGAGCAAAAACGTTTAAATCCTGACTGTTGGAAAAGGAAAAGAACCAATTCAGTATGTTTCACCAAGTAGTTTGGAATGATCTTGGCTCCCCATTGGTGCACCGGTTTGGTGGGGCAGTTGTTAGGGCCTTTAGAGCATGAGCTCATATTGTGTCTCCGCATTCGCGTACTTCAAAGTCCGATGTTTTCACAGCATCGTAAGAGGAAAGGCTTCCTTGTTTTTCATCCCTAAGTGCCATTTACTCACTCAGTATGGCGAGTAGACATCTCAAGCCAACTTAAAAAGAGCATCCTAAATGTGAAGGTGGAAAGATCCTGTGGGTGTAGTATTTCTAGCTGGGTTGAAAGCTAACTCAATACTACAGTGGAGCCCTGCTCACTCGGTGGCATGTCTCAGCAGCCTTTCCTTGCTTGGTGAGGGCTAGTGAGGACAGCAGGGTGGGCTTGCTGACATTTATGGGGACTCGGGTCTGTACATCAGAAACCCCAAGAAGAAGAAAACAGGCCCAGGTAGGTGGTAAACAAGGTTGTACCACAATAATGCCACTTCAGACAAGCTTGGCTGTTGGAATTTTTCCGTTACTAGTCTAGTATACTTTACATTATTTTTAGTTTGATGAAAAAATTTCACATCGTAGAATGGGCTCAGTTTGAAATCCTGAAAAATGAAGATGTCAGCAGTTAAGAGGGTTAAGGATGTTTTACATTGATTCTGTATATTTATGCTTGTTTTTATAGTAACATGCAAATCATAGCTTAAGTTTTTCAAGAATCCCAGCTGTCAGATTAAGTAGAAAGTGTTTGAACTGGATTTTGGAAGTTCTTTTATTAGTTTAGCATTTCATGTGGTAGGACATTGCCTGAATCCCTTTTTTCCTCCTAGTCCACTTCTTAACAGTTTTGTAAATTTTCTGGATGCTTGAGCTATAAGATAGTAGCAAGCTTTAAAGTCATTTTTGAGAAAGCAATCTTTTTAAAATAGCAAATTTGTAAATATTAGTTACCTGATCTTTTGTGTGTAAAAGTACCATATTGATTTGTAAACATTTACTGAGTTTAATTTTATTTCCACAGGGCTCACAGCAACATTAAACCAGGATACAATGTTTCTTAAGTCTGTAGTGGCAAAAACATTGACTCTTGATGGAAAGGCTTAAGAAGATCAAGGTCTCATCATTGGTCCTGAATTTGTATGACCATAAGATACCGATAGCATTGAGTCTTGAAATGATTTGATAATATAAGTGAGGATTTGCTTTCTCCATTAGAGCATTAAGTATGCTAAAACTATCAACATTGTAAACCAAATTGCCTTATTTTCCTTCCGACCTTCATATATGTCTATCAGGTAATATAGGCTTGAAAATTGATATCCTGTGGTGCTAAAGTACAGTAGAAAGAGAGAAAGTGTATACATGTTTATTTTAAATCGTACGAAGGGGAATTTAAAAACATGTAACTGCTGTTTATACATTGGCTCCTTCCTGCTTATTAATCTGTATGTATACATGGTGGAAAGAAGCAGAAGCTGGGAGTTGAGCTTTCATAAGCATCCACCACATGGCCCAGCATCTGTGCCAAACACAGGCCCTCTCAGTCTGGCCAGTGCCAAGGGACTACAGAACATGCGGCAGGTGGATGGCGTCGCTGTCACCTGCTGCAGTTCCTGCGGGCATGCTGAGTTTTTGCACCAGGTGGCAGCACTAATCCATTATTTCCAATGGAGACCAGCCCGGCAGAGGGAAAGTTAGTTAATAGCATTGGGATATAGTCACTGCAATGGTGCTATTAACAGTCAACACCCTTGTATTTTTTAACTTGTGTCCTGTATCTCCTCAGCCACATATCTTAAGTATATTTTGTCATCGTATCTTTATGGTGGGGGCAGTCTTTGCACTTATTGCAGTGCAACACTTGCACTTTACTTTTCCTCCAACTGTCTAAAATTAGAGCAAATACATTGGCAATACAGCTGCTTTTGCTCCGAGCTACAATCATGGCTTCTCATGTTACTTACCAAGTGGTGTGTGGTTAGGAATCACAGCTGTAAAATTGATTTCAGTTCATTACACTTCATGATGTTGCCCCTCAATTTTGCACACTATATTCTTGTATATTATTTCAAATAAAATGAAAAAAAGTTTCTCTCTGACTTCTGGTTGATCTTGACTGAATTTTCTGTATGAATTTATCAGAGCAATGGGATCAGGAGATGGAAACAAAATCCAAACACTCAGAAGACGTTTTGATTTTAAAGTTAATGGGACAAGAGCAATAGAAAAATCAGACTTGGATTATTGTTAATCTTTGTAAAAGAATGATCTTTAATTGGTCTGTTACAAGGCTGCTGAACGGTCTGCCCAGTGCCTCTTAATAAACTGGCAATGTATAAAGATACTGTATACCATTTAAAGAACACTCAGCCCCTAGCTTTAGGATAACCAAACTCCTGCATACTGGAATTTCTACTTTGGGGATTATATTTTTAAAACATTAACGCCTGACTGCTGCCCAGAGATGTGTCGCAAGCTCTCCTGGTGATGTTAGTGTGCAGGCAGATTTGAGAACCACTGGGCCACATACCTGATGGAGGCCCAGGCTGGGGCAGAGGACCTTTTACATACCTAGCCAGGTACCAAAATCTGAAAGAGGAGGAAAAAGTTGGATGTCTAGCAGGAAGAATCAGGCCTGTGGAGTTCAAAGGTTATGCTTATGAATCTATTTTGACATTTTATGCTACTGAAAGTAGAAGTGCTCAAGAGGTAAAGTTCAAAAGGAAATACAGGAAAGGTCCATTATGGTCTTAACTCATGTGGAGTAGCCAGCGCCATGTGGAGATCAACGGATAGCACGTTGCTACTGAAGAGCAGACATCGCTTTCTGAAGCAGCTGAAGCATTATGGGATACACTGGTGCGAATTCTTTGCCTTCTCTGTTTCTCACTGATTGAACATAAGCTTCCAGGGCTCCCCTGAAAACCAAAAAAATGAAACAAGTTAAAAACAATTTTAGGGGGTAGCAGTACAAAAAAATTAGAAGTAAGTGCATTTCCAGAACTGAGTTATTGTCACCTTCAAACACTGGGAGTGTCACACTGGTGGCTGTGCTTACCATTCTCGGTCTGTATTGGACTCAGTCTCATCATGCCCAGGGGCACAGGCTCTGCCTTCACAAGGTGTGCTGGCGGTGACACTATAGGTATGTGACACTCCTTATATATGATGGCTATGAAGAGCCCACGAGTGGAGTATTTCTGATGAATGACATGGTAAATAGTCTGAATACTCACTCTCATGGATTAGGCCAGTGCAGCCCCATGCTGCTTCCTGCCCTATAGCCCAGTGAAAGGCTGAGGCAAACATCACCTGGCCTGCTGAATCTAAATGTATGGCCTTTTACAGAAAGTTTGTCAATCTGTGAACCAGAACACCTGTGTAAGTGGGGTTAGAATGGTTCCGAGATCATTACTGGCTTATTCAAGTGGCAAGTATACAAACATTTTTCTCACGATCACTGTTTTCTTCAAAATTTCACACTAAAGATGTAGGTTGATACTCAGCTTACAGTCTCATCCCATCTAGGTTTGGCTTGGCCTGGTTTTGTTGCTCCCAAACACCTGGTCAGCCAGGTGCAAGCTCTGGTAACCTCCCCTCAACTTTGTCCCACCTGCTATACCAACCACCTGAACATGGAATTCATTTCTGCAGTTCCTGTTTCCAGGCCTGACCTCTCTCTAGATTACATCCCTACAAGTCAACCTGTCAGAAACCTAGGGCAGTGTTTTCCTACCTCCCCTTTTCAATACAGGGCACCAGCTAATGGTCTCTGACCTCTCCTACACCTGATCCACCATCAGCCTTGAATTTACCTCGAACGCTTCACACTGAGCCATTCAGCCCTGTTCTCCCTTTGCCCTGTCTGAGCCTTTGCTGTCTTGTGACCTGATGACTGCTGTCAGCTTCTGGGTGGTGGCCTTCCTGCCTGTGCCCTTCTTGGAGCGTAATGTCGCTTGTCATGCCCTATTCCCTATAGGCTAATGCCCAAATACACAACCCAGCTGAATGCCGGCTTCATCATCAGTCTCCACCTGGCCTTTTCCTGGCTGATGGCTTTTAGACAGTTTGGTGTGCCCTAAAAAGGCAAAGGAATCACCAGTTTCCTTTTGGTGCAAAGAGCTTCACTGTGACTATTCACCAACCTCACTGCCTGCCCAAGCAGAGATCAAGGGTGTTTGTGACCATGCCTCTCCCTAGTAAGAGGCATCTCCAGCCTTACTGAATATCTCACTTCCCTATCTCTGGAATGCCCTTTGCAGAGCTCCTGTCTCTTAGGACTCAGCCTCAAGTGTTTCATTAAAGCCCTCCCTAACTCCAGACAGCACAGAAGAACGGAGAGCACCTTGGAGCTGCACACATCTGTGGAGATGTCTGGCTTTGGTATCAGCAGCCTCGACTGCTGAGGGCTGGCTCCACTCTGTTCAGGGCATGAGTCCTTCAAATGGGCCCCGTGGAGGGATGGCCACCTCCTAACAAGATGTCTGCCAACAGCAACCCTTAGCTCACTTGCTCAGTCCCAAGCTCCACTAATACACAATTCTCAGCTGGCTGCAAGATGGAATTTCACGCTGTCAAGAGAACAATGTTTTGTGAGGCGCAGAGCTGACTCTTTAATGGAGCAATTTCTCTAGGAAAAAACTTGCTTCTTTTAATACTTTTCTAGTTGCTATGCCATTCTGGGCAACTGTCCCCACTCCACAAATGTCATCCTTACAGATTCACAGGGTGTCTGTGTGTAAGAAATAAATATGTTGAAATTCATAGAAAATTGTCCTGTAACGAATGGATTACATCCATTCTTGTTTAATAAATGCTAAAAATCAATTTAGTTTCATTTGCATTCAAAAGGATAAGAAATTATATAAATTATACAATATGTAAAAAGTGGCTCAGAAATGAGGGGTTTTTTTTTTTTGGATTCATCAAAAACATCAGAGCTATGGAGAGAAAAACAGATTAAGCAGCCCTCCTACATAAAATCAGAGCAAGATTTTCAAGCATTTATTAAATTACTTCATATGCTTCAGCAAAACATTAGCTTTCTTGGAAGGCAGGCCAAGCATTATGTAAGAGTTGGGTGCAACTCTGGTTTGTAACCATAGTTCTTACTGGGGAAAAACCCCTCAGATCAGTACTACAGAAAGGGCTTATGGTAACATGGCAACACTTCTCACAGTGACCCCCACTAACCAAGTAGAGGTTTTTATGGAAAACAAAGTGGATTTCTGTCAGGCATTAAACATTCTGCATGATTAGTGTTGAAGTGCACACTGACTTAGATATACCTCCAGCCTGCAAAGGCAGTTAAAGCCCAGGCTTCTCCTCCAGACGCCCCACGCTGGCCTCGGGCTCATTTCAGGCCCTCAGCTCCCAAACCCAGGAAGCACCCAGTGTTACAGGGCCCCAGAGTCTCACACAGTAACTCTGGACAGAGGAACGGTGTGCAGCCTATGGCCCTGCACAATGGCGTGAGCAGAGGTCCAGGGCGGTGAACAGCACAGAACATTTTCTGACAGACTACAGATAAGAGAAGCGTTAGGCCTGCAGAGCCCATGGACAAGTCTGACCTATATGTGCTCCTTCTCAGAGGGCCGGAAGAAGCATTGCTGATCCACCTCAAATACTGGAAGTGAAGGTTTCAGACAATCCTTCCCCTTCCTTGACAACAGGTCGGCACCACAGGACACAGGCTGAGCAGGCACCGCTTCCACACCCAGGCCACACAGTGGGGCCCCTGCCAGGGGCTGGACGGGCCAGCTTCCCACCCACCCCACCTGGCTCCTGAGTCTGCGATTACTCTGACTTAAAATTAACTCAGCCACTTTTCATTCAGGCTCCAGAAAAACATCTCGTGTCAAAAGGAAACCGAGAAAGCAGGAGTGGCCACTGTGTGCCATTTATGCAGCAGCAGCACTTGCTGTCCTCACTGCCCTACTTTATGCCAGCTGAGGAGATTGTGCTGGGAGCAACAGGATGCGTAGACAGGGTTTGCCCCAGAAGCTAAAACAAACGGACTGACATTTAAAGAGCAGTGCTCGCCCTGGGTTACCCACAGGGGAAGGACACACATCGGTGGGTGTGGTGTGTGGTGTGTGGTGTGTAGGGATGCAAGCTGTGCAGCACAGCGTATGACAGCACAGTCCCTGGGGTGGAGGGCCTTTGCCTACCAGGAGCCAGGCCACAGTGCGGTGCAGTCTGCAGAATCCCCAGCTCAGGGCATGAGGTTCTGGTAGCAGCCGTGTGTGGAAGGATGGGTGGGCCTTATTTAAAAAGCATGACAGGATTTCTGAGCATGATTTTCAGTGCTAAATATAGGGCTAGCAACAGCACTGCTGATGAAATCACTCAGGAGACATTTTTAAAAAGAAGCTAAAGAAAACAGATTTGTGATGTACCCAGCACAGGACAACTGCTGTGGATGAACTCATCCCAACTTGTGAAGAAGACGAAGATGAGCCCTGCTCAATTAACTAAGCCCTCAATCCCTGACGGGCTGCTGCTGAGTGAGTGAACCTTTGGGCATCAGGAAAACAGTTCACAGAGACGGCAAATCCCTGGGTTAGTGCAGCCCGCTGGGTGCAGGCGGGAGTCGAAGGGCTTGGCCAGTCACAGGAATGCAGGCTCCACTGGCACCCAGCACCCGTCCAGTCGGCTGCTCAGGGAAAGGGGCAGGCCCTGGGCTAACCTAGTCTCCACCCACACAGGCGCCAGGAGGCTCTGGACACTGCACCTCAGGGCTCCGGCTGCTCTCAGAAGCTATGCTGTTTTTCTCTGATCTCAGGAGCCTCCTCAGGGGAGCCACACACCTGGAATAATCTCCCACTGGAGCACCTGGGGCTCTAGGAGATCCAGATGGGGCTCAGAACCCAGAGGGTGCAGCGGAGCGGGTGAGGCTGGGCTGAGCTTGGCCCACACTCTGTGTGCCCACGGGGCCAGGGGCCTCACCATGTAGCCCCGCCCAGCTGGGCGCCAGCCTGAGATCAGCAGAGGCTGGCCGGGCGCTGGGCCCAGTCCCCCAGAGAGCTGCTCACGAATGGTTTCAAGAGCCGTTTCCGAGAAGCACAGAGCACAGAGAAGTGCTGGTGGACCTTTCAGAGCTCGCAGTACTAACAAACAGCCTGCTATGGTGAGCAGGCCACAGGTTTGCCACCCCTGCACTAGAGGATAAGGGTGCTGGGGTCCTCTGAGGAGTCACAGGTGCTTTAGTTTGGCTCCCAACCACGTCAGGGCAGACAGAGCGCAAGAAGGCCCAAGGAGAGATGATTCACTGTCAACATTTGGGAGTTGGGAGTTCCCGCGGTGATATATGACAGCAGGGTTCCTGGCCTGAGGCCTTGTGTTCTCCACAAGGCCTAGACTGAGCCCAGGAAGTACAGAAGAGGCCACGAGCTCACCCGGGACCAAAGGCAGACAGGATGTGTGAAAAAGAGCCAAGTAATTAAACATGGGAAATGGAAGGAGAGGGGCCAGGGCCAGAGAGGTCAGGGCTGATGATGGACCCGCCCACTGGGTCTCGGAGGCCCCCAGAGCGCAAGGCTGCACTGCCACCCCGCGGCCCTCCTGCAGGCTCACACAATGCTCTGTGGGCCCAGCATCTGTAACAGTGCCCGGGCCTGCCCAGGAGCCTCGGGAGGAGGTGGTGGTCAGCATCTTGGAGGGCTGCAGGGCTAGGAAAGAAAGGGGCTACCTCGGAGGAGGGCAAGGCTGGAGGATGCTCAAGCATGGCATCCTGGGCACGGCGGGTCTGAGGTGTGTGTGCCTGGGCGCGTGGCTGAGGACACGCACGTGGGACCGCAACAGCGGTCTTCGCTTCCTACTACTGCCTGTGTTCCACTTGGCACTTTCAGAGCTCACACATACTGAGCTCCTCCAATTCAGTAACTGCAGCCTGTGCAAACGACGCAGAAAGCATGGGGCCACGGTGACTGTCACGGCAGGTGGCCCAAAGGTGGATGCAGCAGGCGCAGAGCAGCCGCAGTGGGTGTGTGGGTCAGGGGAGGGAGTAGCTGGCTCTCCTGTTCCATTCACTGCCGGTGCTGCAGCCCGCGGGCGCCCGGGTGATTAGTGGGGCGGCCCGTGTCCACCGCACCCGGACCCCCCTCCACCCCCTACCCCGCAGCCCAGCACAGACAGGAGCCCCCAGGCCAGACTTACCTGATGAGCAGGAGCCGGTCCTTCTCAGATGGGTGGTCGTCCAGCCACTGGGAGAAACGTGCATGCGACCACTCTGCCCTCTGCGGGTGGCAGAGAGGAGAGAACACGGTCTTCAGTGAGGGAGGGAGGCAGGTGCGCGTCGGGCAGCTTGCCTGGGGACGCGGACAGGAAAGGGACCGCAGAGCCCTGCCGGCCGCGCTCGGAAGGCGGCACACGCCTTGCTTGCCACCTTCCTGACTACCAAGGCTTCAGGACCTGCTAATTTATGGGAGCTAGACAAGGAAATAGGATCTCCAATAAAAAGCTCTGAGAACATGAATGACTTAAGACGTTATTATTTAAAGGGCTAATTCTAGGTTGCTCGGGTAACTTTTTGCACTGCCCCGAAAGCAGACACTGGGCAGCAGAAGCCTTCTTTCCTGAGCTCTGCTCACCGCAGGGTCTCCACGTGGCCGGGCTCCCAGAGAGCCTGCTGCAGTCTTTACCTGGAAGGGGGACTTCAGTTCAGCCGGCGCTCTGGTGAACAGAAACTGAAGGATGATGCTGAACGGAATGATCTCCCCCAGCGTGGGGCTGTTGGCCACATGTTCACTTGTCTGGAAGAGCAGTGGTCTAGAAGGGGAAAGAGCAGAGGTTAGCTTGCTGTTGCTGTTCGGAGGCGACGAGGTGGGAGAAGCATTCCGCTCCAACAATAATATTCTTCCTAGGCAGGAAACTACAAAGCGCTCCATTCAGCCCGGCGCGCACACGCATGCACGCACGCACGCAGGGTGCTGTCTCTCAGCTCCTCCCTTGAACCCGATCACCGGGCAATGGGTCTGATGTTACTTCCAGTTTACTCAGCAAAATCCCTCCTAGAGTTCATTTAATTAACAGGCTCAAATCAAATAAAGCAAAATAAAGTCTTCGATGGTATCACTAATAGATACTTACCTTGGCCAATGCTTTCAGCTTTCATTTTACATACAATCCGTCTTTGGGCTATAATCTAATATGGATAAAGCATAACATTTTCTACACAACTTTTCAAAATGGCAATTATGCCTCTGCATACAGTTATTACTTTGCTAGCCATTCCATCAAAAGTTAGTGTAACTCCCTGCACTACATTTCCGGGTCTCACTATCACAATTTCACAGGAGGGGTATGTAGGCAAACCCATGCCATTACCAGTCACCTACCAACTTGTGCAAAAGGATGGCAAGAAGCCAGCATGGCAGTTCACGCCTGTAGTCCCAGCTACTCAGGAAGCTGAAGCAGGAGGATTGCTTAAGCAAAGTTTGAGATGAGCAACACAACCCCACAGCAAAAAATTAAAAATTAGAAAGACCAGCAAGAATGATTTAAAACCATTATTCATCCCTCCTTTCCTCTGAGCTCTGATGGACAAGAACTGATGACTACAAGCTGAGCATCAGAGACTGAATCTCAGGAGGCAGCTGGCAGCACCATTTCCTGACAGGCGAGCTGATCTGGCCACAAGAAAGGGCACTATCTTCCCACCTCCTGCACTCACCTTCATCAACCCACCCAGGAACGGAGGCCTGTGTGAAATGGGAGTTTCTTCCTCTCTTGCACTAGTAAGGTCTTTTTTTTTTTTTTTGGTACCGGGGATCGAACTTGGGACCTTGCACTTTTGAGGCAGGCGCCGGAACCACTGAGCTAAATCCCCGGCTCAACTAGTAAGGTCTTAAGAGCCAATAGCGCCCTCAACAGATAACTAGTTCTTGCTAGATCTAGAATATTATTAGAGAAAAATGTCTTCATATTAACTATTCTTCAAATATAATTTATCTGCGCAGGGGTTGTTCTAATTTCAAGTACTTTATCAAATAACATTCTGTCATTTATTTTCTTTAGTTTTGGGGAAAGGAAATACTTCATCTTCATCGTCTCTCACCAGAAAGCCAGAGAGGGAGGTCTGAGTTCCCTGGGAGTGTGCCTAGGGCCTGCCTGTGGCCTTGGGGGCAGTGGCACAGTGCATCCGCCTTGCCAGAGTCCAAGGCCCGAGTCATTTCACAGTACTCCATGGCACGCAGTTTCAGGGCCCTGGCAAGCACCTCCTCTGGTACGACAATGCTGCGGAGGGAACTTGGATGCAGACTGCGGGCCTCCCTGTCAGGCCTTGTCTGTGCATGGCACTATGTCTGGCAGGGGGAGGTGTGCTTATAATCAGCAGCAACAGCGATGGCCACACTTACGGCACTTGCCAAGGACCAGGCACTGTCTTACTTTCTCTCTGCTGAGCCACAATACCAGACACCACAACTTAAAGAAGAAAAGGTTTATTTTGGCTTACAGTTTGTACAGCGAAACTCTCAAATTCAGAAACAGGACCAACACAGCCATGTGCCACACAGCCTGCCTTAGCTTCCCCAGCAGGGTAAGGAATGGCCACACTTGGACCCCACCGCACCCCACAGGTATGGTGCCACTCAGGCTGCCCTGGGTGCACAGTTCCTAAGCAAGAAGAGAAAGCCAGCAGCAGAGCCCAGCTTCTGAACATTCTCAGATTCTCCTGGGTGGCTTCCCAAGAAACAGGGGCAGCAGCACTCACCACAAGTGGCACGCAGCTAGGGGTGGCACTGAGGTATCAGCTCATGACACGGCCCAGCTGCAAGGCTGCTCCCAGAATCCTGGCACAAAGCGTACTGGCTCGAGTCCCTGGAGAGGAGGCCTCATGCCAGCATCTGACTCACAGCAAGGCCCTGCAGGGCAGGGGACCCGGTCACAGTGTATTCCCACAGGCACAGGGGCACAGGGGCCTGAGCTAGGTACAGACAGCGGCACCCCTTAGACTCAGAGCCCACCTCAGTACTTACTTCATGGAGCCCAGGCTCCAGCCCAATCCATGCAGATCAGCAATGCAGCCTAAAGCCAGTGGCCAGCCCCGTGCCTGCTGGGAAGCCACCCTGCGGTCCCATCAATCAGGGTGACTGCTGCCGAGCCAGCAGCCTCACTTGGACTCAGAGCTCAGGCAGCAGCCAGCCAACTGGAGATGCTTGCAGTGGTCCCCCTATCAGGGTCGCAGCAACTGGGCCATCACAGTCCCAGGCTACACACTGCAGCTCTGGCTGTGCAGGTCAGGAGAGGCAGCTATCTCCTCAGGTACACAGACACCACTGCAAGGACACAGGGCCTACAAAGGGCCAGGGAATCAGACACCACCAGAAGAAACTCAAAAAGCTCTAACAACAGACCTGACAGAAATGGGGATTCAGAACAAGCATCCTAAGGAAGTTCAGCAAACTACAAGAATGTACAGATAAAAAATTAAATGGAATTTGGGAAAGAATACATGAAGAAAAGAAGAAAACTGACAAAAATAAAAAATCTTAAAGAAAACAATGACTGAATTGAAAATTTCAAGAGAAAACTTCAATAGCAAACTTGAACAAGCATGCATCAGTGAGCTTGAAGAAAGAATTTCCTTTGACTCACTATGGTCCTTTACATTGAGCTACATCCCCAGATTTTAAAAAAAGTTTTATATCTTGAAACAGTATCTCACTAAATTATCCTGGCTGGGCTTACACTTGAGAACCTTCTGCCTCAGCCTCTCAGAGTGCTGGGAGTACAGGCATGTACCTCCACGCCCAGCTCTGAATATTTTAAATTATCCAACTATCGGACCAAAAAGAATGAAAGAGAATGAAAAAAGCCTATAGGAATTATTGGAAACCACCAAGAGAACTCAGATTTGAATAAAAGAAGTTTTACAAACACATTTAAAGTAAGGGTGGCTGAAAATTTCTCAAACCTCCGGAATGATGCCAGTAACACCCAGGTTCAGAAAGTAAAGAGGTCTCCATGCCCATAGAGAAGTTCATCAAAACACATGACAGTCAAACTACCTAAACTCAGAGACGAAGTGTTCTGGTGCAACAAGAGGTAAGAAATGCATCACGCACAAGAAGGGCCAGAAGGGCTGCCAGTGAAGTGCTCTTTGAGTTGAGAAACCTTCCCTTCTTTCTGATGATGGGAATTAGATGATTCTGTTTCTCTTTGATCTTTGTCATTGGGAAATTTAAAGCAAAATTTGAAACTCAGCAATTAAACTAGTTTTATGGTTTACATTAGTTTTTCTGATATTTGTGGTTTTACTGTCTTCAGTACTTTGTTAATGTAAACTGCACATGATACAAAGAAGGACAGAGGACAAAAAGACAAGAAAGACAAGAAGTGGGGCAGAGGCAGGGAATGAGGAGCCATCAGGCCGTGGGGCAAAGGTGCCATTTAACCTGGGGTCTCCTGGCAATGCCCGTCCCTGCAGAGCTCCTGGTCACAGAAGCTGTTTGTCTGACAAGATCAAGTCCTCCACATCAGCCATCAGCAGAACTGCTACAAGAGCACAAAGGGGAGAACTGGCCTTGATCTTGTATTCTGCATCCCTGACATAATTACCTCCAAACATCAAGTGCAGACATTTTATTTCTGCTGCTTGTTTTAAGAGGTGGAAAGAACACAGCCTGAGCCCTCCCTTCTCCTGATTCCAGGTGGGACTGGAAACACCAGTTAAAAAGTAAATCTCCATCTGAAGTGCTTTATGAAACAAAATTAATTAAGGTGTTATAAAAAGCAGTTATCCTAAATGTCACAGTGTCATTCTTAGAGAACACTGTTCTAAATATAGCACACTTTCAACAGAAGGTAGCGTTAATTAGCGGAGGACTGGGTCCATGAGAAACAACTGTACTTCCAGACAGGAGATTCACACTGCAGCAACTAAGGGCCGCATCGCTGTCAGCTTGCTAAGGCCAATCATGAAGTGATGAAGACCAAAGTCCTGCTGCTCCTGCATGCACCCCGTCATGCCCCCTGCCACCACAGACAGCTTTCCCTCCTCTTAGGGAGGGGCCCAGCCCTGATAGGAAAGGGCGGGGAGGAAATGTGGTTGCTCTGGGGGACAGGGCACCAGGGTCTTGAGAGAAGTGCTGGAGGCCTGCAGGAGAGGGCCGCAGGATGCTCGCTAGGGGTTCTGGCTTGTGGCTTGGGGACAAGGAACCACGCAGGCCCCAGGAGAGAATGTCACAGGGGCGGATGACATAGGGTGAATAAGGCTCAGCGTGGAGAGGTTCAGTGTCTCACTGGAAGATCCCCGCAGACCAGGTGACAGGGGAGGCAGGACTTTTGGTGGATACTTGCAGGCAATGCAGATGTACATTCACCTGAATGTTCCTGGTGCCCTGTCTGAGAGCCCACATGTGACAGAGGGCAAGGAGATAAGGTGAACGTGTTAGCAGCAGGCTGTCACCAGAATCCCTTTAAACTTTTCTGACATCTTCCTGGACAATACACAGGAACATTCAAAAACAAATGGGAACTTCTGGGATGAGATGTAGGGCAGTGGTCATGTCCTGGCACAGGCCCGGCAACCTGGCCACTGCCTGTTCTGAGTACCAACGCAGGCCCACCGAGCCCACACCTGCTGTGAGGGCTACAGGAGGAAGTGTCTGTGAGACACCTGGCACAGGCCTGGCGCATGGTCAATGGTCAAATGAGGGTTGTTCAAAACAACACAACTGATAATACACTCATTCAGCGTTCTGCGTTTATCTGGGCACTTGCAGCATTGCCAAAGCAGCAGCAGGCACCAAGGCAAGCCAAACCTC